GGCACTGGGCTGCGCTGGCCCCTGCGCTGACCCGCAGCGGAGGGCAACTCCGACCTGCTGCAGGTCTGTCCCAACTGCTCCCTCATCTAAAGGCACCGTGAATCTCCTCAGTTACTCTCCTGTTTATCGACGATTTAATCTCAGCACCGGAGCGCGTTCGGATGTTGATACCTTGCCCGGGGACAGCCTCAGGCTTGGCGAGATGCTTCACGCAGCGGCCAGAGCACTCAAGCACTGCTGCTAGCAGGTGAGCCGCAAAGCCTCTGTGCAGAATCAAGCCACAAATAATCACATTAGCTTCACCTCTACAATTATTCAAAGACCTGGCAAATCCAATTGCTACAGGAAGTTTTTACCTACAGTCTGCCAGCTCTGTTCCTTCTAATGGAAAAGCTGGTCAAAAAAGGGGTGGAAACAACTTTTGCACTCAACCTGAAGTCTTCAAGTAACATTAATCTTTTGTTTCCCAATGGAAATTCCTCACATAATCAGACATGCAGGGGGAAGCACTGAATACCTGTAGACATGCCCAGGCACTGCACAGTGGGCAGGATCCACATGCTCTGGGCACATCCTTGGTAAGACCGCACACACTAACCCTGCTGAATGTAATAGCTCTGTAGTTCTTATGTGGAACAAGATCCATAAATGCTGTTTTCCTTTCTAATCATCCAAGAATGATGCAGGTGAGAAAAAAAAAAAATGGTGCTGACTGCTACATTAGCCCACCCAAGGTCTTTGATCACACTCCTGGGGTCAGCAACATGTGATCCTGTTGTTTTGTAAAAGATCAATAACATCTAAAGCCAGAGGATACACAGGAACTCAAGACTGTTCAGTCTGCTGGTAATAAGAGGGTAGTAGGTCCATACAAATGGTTGCACAGTTGGTTTTAGGTGCTTTTATTTCCACCCCCCAAGCTGTAGCATGGTCAGAAGATAAATCCTTCCCATCCAACACATCTGCACTAGTGCAGAAACAGGGAGGCAAAAGTCTTGCAGTGAGAAAGTTTTGGCGTACTCTGCTTCCCGAAAGGAAGTCAGTGTAACAGGCAGCACAGAGTTAAAGAACAGGTATACGCATGAACAAGTTTTCCTCGAGAAAAAAACGTGATGTATCAGCCAAACGGTCATAGAAACAACAACTTTGGCTATGGGTGTTAAGTGTGACTCCAGGAAAAGTCAGGGGGAGTTCTGGGGGCTCTAAGATGTAGTACTAAATCTGGCTATGGCAGGTGACAGAGGATGCTCTAAGCCTTTCGAGGTCCTGGTAAGGTTCTTAAATTAACTGCTCCAAACCCAATCGACACAAACCTGAACAGCAGATTGAAAGAGAGTAGGAGCTTGATGATACTGACCTACCAATTAAGAAAGACGCACTTGGTAAGCAATAGGAACTGTCACTTATCAGGAGACACTGTGTTGTTCTTCCTTTTTTTTTTTAATTCCCCTCAACAACTGAGTAAGACAGTTGTACACAGTACATACACAGTTCTGGGTGCACAATGGAGAAAGTCAACACAGCCAGTTTGATGAAGCTCACTATATACCAGTCTTTCATGCTGAAAATCATACTACTAAAACAAAGCTTTTATTCTGTATTTATCTTAACTGCAGAACCTCATGTGCCTTTAATTAAAGAGCTCTCTCGTAGAGTGGTTTATATTTGATTACATTAAACTTCATTTATTCCTGATAAATGAAGTTTACTGTAGCAGAGAACAATGCAATTAATTAAAATTCTTTTTAAAGTAGCATATAAACCTTCTTGAAGGGAATACTGTAGCTTCATGCTCTACATTAATAACAACCTTATTAGTATTAATTCCCGTAAAGCAGCAAAGGAGATACTACACTTAAGCAGGGCTCACAGCTTTAACAGTCCTACACTGGTGCAGGGCAACACCGTTCTTAGATTTTCCCTGGAAAATGTGGGACTAACTTCTGCTCTACATGTAGCTGAAACAGCCTGTGTAGCTCTGTTGTGCAAATTCAATCTTCAGCCCTGTACTAATAACAAACCCAGGACTTGACTGCATTGTTATGACAAGAACAAGTCCTCCTTTAGTAACCATGATGGAGATGGAGACAAGTTGATCATGCAACTAGCATTCTCCAGCGATAATTCTGAATTGTTACCAAACTGCTAATCTAATTGTCAAATAAAAATACTTTCTTTAAAGATTTTTAATTATTGTAAAATGCTTCCACTGCAGCCCAAATTACTGCTATCCTGCAGCTGCTTGCACTATCCTTTTAAATAAGCAGTATGCAAGCTTTCCTGATTAACTGGAGATTGGGTAAGGAGGAAGACCCTAGGCTTTCTTAAGTAACATCATTGCTGTTTTAGCTAAGCACAGAATGGAAGGGATTTTATTTTACCTCTCTCACATGATGCACAGCATGAAATACTGTATGCAAAATGATAGTTGATCCAAGAAAGAGAAGCCAGTTCCTGCTGCCCACCTTTTTCCAGCCAGAGGAAACACTTAAGTGTACAACTTCCGTAGAGATCCTTCACAGGCCTGTTATGACTGTTAAGAGAACTAATGGCAACACAAGTATTACAGAAAGTATTAAACTCCTTGACAGAAGTAATACGATAACTACTCGTTGTTCTAGTACTACATAAAAGTAATTTACCTTGTTATGTAGACATCTGTTTTGCAACAGGGAACCTGTCTCACTACACGGACTGAGCTAACACCTGTAAGATAATCAGGAGCATTTAGCAAGTATGATGATGCTCTGTAGGACCCAACTTTATTTCTTGCACAGGTGGATAAAACCAAGGCCAAAATTTAAAAAAGTTGTCCCAGGTGAACGCTGCCCTGAGGAAAGCAACTCTAACCAGTGGGTTCTTAATGTGACGTTTAACCAACCATTCAACACCCCCCACCCCCTTAACACTTACCAGTGACCACTCCTGTTCCAAGAGAGTAACAAGTATGTCTTGCTGATGTTGGAGAAACTTTTGCAGCAACATGAAGTAACTGTCACAGCAGTTTTAGTCAACAAATAACTGTGTTTCAAAGATAAAGGACATTTAAATTCTCTAGCACATCCTAAACTGGGCACCAAAAATGGGTAAGTGTTCAGTAAGTATGGCTTGGATTCTCTCTCAAACCTCCTCATCTACAGAATAAGGCTATTACTCATCTTTCAGATTGATATTGATGAAAAATCCAATACAGCAAAAATCAGAGAAAGTCCCATAGGGAAACTAAATATATATATACACACACACAGTGCTGGGTTTACATGATATGCACTATGTTAGACTTGGATCTGCAAAAACGAAACACAGAAAAACCCTGTTATTCAGTGAACACCATCAACTGTGCACACTGAATGAAGAAAGAGTCCCACAGAAAAAAAAACAGCACCTGATCATATAATAACAGACAAGGGGAAAAAAAAGATTACAACTTTAGCCACTTCCTAATTTTTGAATATTTGCCTTTGCCATCTTGGTGTGTCATAATTTAAAAACAGTGGTTTAATATTACCTGGTAAAATGAAGGCATAATACTTTTTTTTTTAATTGGGTTTTTTGGGGTTTTTTTTGTTTTGTTTTCTCCTTTTCTTTCTTCCATTTATAGCAAGATTAAGCTGCTTTAGAATTTGTTGATTTTTTTATTATTTTTTTTTCAAAAGAGGGAAAATTTCCCAGACAGGTAACAAATGTTGGAAAAGATGGAACATAGGCTGCATACAAATACATTTACTAGAAGTTACACTGCATAAGAAAGCTGTAAAAACACAGCGTTAAGGAAAACCAAATTATTTTAACTGTACTGTCTGCTTTGTATTATATATCCACATCCACTACCAGCACAGAAACTGCATGTTATACAATTTATTATAATAAATTAATTTCCCTGCTTTTTAAGCGAGATCTTGGTATCCTAGCTGTAATCTCGATTTAATACATGGAGAAGTTGCCCTCCAATGGCAGAAATATGCATGATGCAAGCATCCATACACACCAACCAACAAAAGTTTTCCTTCAAGTCTTTTATTATAGCTTGAATTTTTTCACTGCATTTAAAAATCTAAAAAAAATAAATATTTGTTTCACAGCTGCAAGTCACATATCCATTAACACCACAAAATCTGGAATTTAACCAGAGAAGGAAAGTCAAATCCGAAAGTGTCCAGCTAAGCACAAGTCTCGGGGCAATTATACTAAAAATAAAATCTTAAGAAAAGGGGAGAGGGGTGTTAAAGAGTTATTTCAAATGCATTTATCTGGAAAAAAGTGAAAATTCTATTAGAAACCATAAACTACGCTTTCAGCACTTAAAAATAAACGCTCAACCTCTTGACAGCAAGAATTGTCTGGTGCATCTTTTTCTTTTAAGCTGTATTCTTGACACATGGCTGCAGAGGTTTCAAATGATAAATTAACCTCTTTTATAATTGTGTCCACTTAATCACAGAATCAGTCCTTAAAAATAAAACAGTATTATGTCAGCTTGTCCATCCACATATTAAAAATGCCATTGTATGCAGTTTTGTATCGGCACTGGGTGACTGCTTCATAGATTGTACATTGTGAAGATGAATGTCTCAAACAATCACTTTCATTTTTAAGGTTCTTAAAACAAACCAGAAAAATATATCTTCAGAAATCAGAGTAGTCACTTTTTTGTTAAAAGCCATAAAATAAGCTCATATTCAATTACAAGCAATAGGAACCATACTGCTATTGGAACGTAATTATTTTATCACAAAAATTTTTTATTTACAAAATGAAAAGTTACCCAGTTAATTTATCAGGGAAAAAGTTAAATGTTCTTACTAAGTGATCTGAAAAACTTAAGCAAGTCTCTCATGCACTCACACGCCAAATTGTTTGTATAAGGTGAAATGTTAATTCATGTTAGTGAAACTTGACTCCCATTCACAGTACTCTTGTTTTTATTGTAAGATGGCAAAAATCCACATGGTTCTGTACAAGAAGGTATGTATTAAGACAGTTCCTCATTTTTGTAAGTGTTTTTTGGCTCCCATGAGTATCCGTACCACTGAACGTTTTCGCAAATAATCAGTTATATTATCAACTCCATCATTTAATCCACTGAATTTACCACCACAAGAAACACAAAAAGTTAGTTTAATGATCCCACATTACACAGAACTCTCATTTCTGAAGTTATACTAAACTGAAACCTTCGTAATGATCTATAGCCTGGATCAACTTCGATTTTAGGGTTTCTTTATCTGTGTATTTCGGAAGATCAAGAAGATTAAAGCAAGTGTGAGCTACCGGAAGATAACCTTCTCCACCTCCTGTTGGCTGGATGACTAGTTTAAGACACTTCATGCCAAGAATTGGAATACGATCACTGCCTGTCAGAAACACTGTGAAGAAAAAACAAACAAAGTCTTCAAAGTAGTTTAAGACGAACATTGTATATGTCACACATGCAGTTCTAATCACTGTTTGCATTTTTTAATTATTCTAGCAGTGGTTAGCTTTTCACACTGAAGTTGTTCTGGTAAGTTTGAAAAACAGGGAATAAAGACTTAACCTGACCTCCAGCTTATACATGTGTAACACAAGAAGTGATATATAAAGGAAAACATTTCATTTTAGCATATGAAACTAACCAGTCCTTTTTTTTTAAAAAAAAAAAAAAGGTAGGAAGTTCTTCATCCATCAGAATTTGTTATTTAAATTCCATTGGCTATACCTTTACGGAGCATTTGCAAACATCTTGTAAATACGCAGAATTAGTTTGTTCAATAAGAAATTTATCTGACTTGGCAACTAATCTATGATCTAGTCTCAACAAAAGCTTCTTCACAGGAAGCCTCCATAAATTTGTTGTTTACCCCATACATTTCCACTTGTATCAGTTCCTTGAGGTATTTACAATCAGTAATAATTCCAAAATTCTACCTATGTGCAATGAAAAAAATGATGTGAACCTTATGTCAAAACACAGGAAAAAAAATTCCTAGTCCTCAGATAAATAACACCTATCAGTTTAAGCTGTTGGGGGTTGGGATTTTTTCTTTTCTGTGTTTTGGTGGGGGTTTTTTTGTTTGGTTGGTTTTTTTGTTGCCCGCCCCCCCTTTTTTTTTAATGCTACTCTGATCTACTGTCATCTTCTAACAGCCCAACACCCAAAATTACTCAGGACAACCTCAGCAAAATCAGAGACAAGCTCATAATTAATTTCTTCTACTGTAATTTTTTCTCTTCCAAATAAAGTTAACCACATCATTATAGATAAATACTTACATGTGCCCTCTTATAGCAAGAGCCTGAAATCACAGTGATCCTGTTCAGTTAGCAACTTCTACAAAGTACTTTCAAATACTTACACAAAAACTGTTTTTTCTTCTCCAAAGACAACTCATGAAAAACTTCCCAGAATATTTTGATTGTAGGATGGTCTGCCCAGTATTCTCCTTTGTATTCTGTATTCTAAAGTGAGCAGGAAATCAGGTTACTTTTCACATATAGAACTAGCAGGATAATCTGACATTAAAGCAGAATGAATGTGGTTTGTGTAAAGGGATACTGCAAATGACACGTTACTGTTTTCCTTGGTCAATTTTCTTCAGCTATTCAGTCTGACTTCAACTATGCGGACAGATGTATGTACATCAAAGCATTTTCAATCCAAATAAAGTAGTGACAAAAGTCTCACAGTGAGTATGGCAATCAAGAATATTTACTTTTATTAACTGTGTGCATTTTGTTCACTTTCCCTCTTCTAACATGATACATTGTATACAGCTGCCTTTTGGTTCTGTGGCTTTTTCTTCATTTTTTTCTGATTTCCTTCAGAAATTAGATGGGAAAACTTTAAGCAGAAAGGTAAACAATATTTTAGTGTCTTCATTCAGTAATATTAAAAAAAAAAAAAAAAAAAAAAAAAAGGGAAAAAAAGTTGCCCGCTCAGGCAGTCAATCCAATCAAGGCTGGAAATCCCTAATTAAAACAGAGCTCAAAAGACACTTCAAGATTTTGCTTTTGCATCTGGAAATTAAAAAATATATGAAACAAATAGCTAATTATGGTTCTTACCTTCTCCAATTCTTTCCAATCATAATTTGTGTTCCCAATCACCATTGCCTGCAACTCGCTGGGCTGGAAGAGCTGAAGAACTTTACCTCCACATACTTTGTGGAAGCCTGCATGGAATGCACTGAATAAGGAAGCCACAGATTTATTGAAGATGTAATCCACATATGCATCTACAAAATCTTGCCTGTACAAAGAAGAAAAAAAGAATTACGTTGGGGAAGGGGAAGCACTTCACCATTTTAGCCACAAAACAGTAGCCATTCTGCCTAGAACACAGCACTAATAGTTAAACAAAAAGGATCCTAATATATTCTCTGCTTCATGCTAAAACCACAGTGAAGATTACCTCAATGAAAATGGAACATAAATGTATTTCCCCTCCATACCCCCCAAGACAGAGTCCTTAATGAAAACCAGTAACATTTAGTGTTATTTATTCCAGTCACTATGAACATTTCTCTTATCTGTATGCATTGCAGTGAACTGGACTGAACAGCAACAAGCTTAAAGGCTTGAGTTACATGTGCTGTCCTGAAACTGACTAATCAAACTTGCTGTTGTATTTTTTTAATTAAAAAGATTACCACATCTGTACTGAAAATGCAAATCAACTTCAAATGGACATTTGAGTCCTATACAGTAGAAAGATCAGTGCGAAGGAGCTAGGATACTGAAAAACAGACTGCCTGTTATCTGTGTCTTGCCACAAGGAGTTCTCGTATCTTGCTGGAAACATCTTTTGCAGCATTCAAGGGGACTAAAATTCCTTTATGTGACACAGTATTTATTATTAATTTTTTTATTACTACCATTTTAATCAATTGCAGTTAACACTGCAATTTCTACGCTGCAGTTAACACTGTTCATTTCTACACTGGCAGAGTGACTCCAGTTACAAATTACAGTTATCCTACCGGTGTACATATTCTGTGGAAATCCACAGTATTTGAACAACATCCACAGTATTTGAATATCACGAATAACAAAGAATAATCTAAACACATTTTGATGAAAATTTTTTGTAAAAGTTGTTCAACTGAAAATACTGGAGATGAGCAAAGTGGTGAATCACGTTCCTCCTCTTCCAGTACAAAATGAGATATCAATTTTATGCATGCTGTGTAATTAATGTACTTATAAAGGCAGGTAACTTGTGTAATACTAACAGTGGAAGGAAAGGCTGCCCCACAGAAAGTTCATAGTAATAAACTAGTTAGCATTACTATACTCTATATTAAAACTGAATTAAAGCATCATGGAATATTTGGATCTTGAGAAACAGGAATTCTTCACTGCAGCAAGACAAAAGGTGACGTCATATGTTCCACGGTTCCACATGCACCTTGAAACTTTTCTCATAATTCAACTCCAATTTTACTGTCTCTGTGACAGAACACCAAACCACCACCAGAGAACTTCAAAACTATCATGTTAAAGATAAAGTAACACAAATCCTCAGCTATGAGCCAAGGATTAAAAAAATAAAAACATGAAACAGATATAGGTGGTGATTCCAGTACTTAATGGTAGTACAGGTCAGGATGATTTAAATAAATAAATCACTCCGTTGTGGGAGGTACTGTTACTGCACATGGCGATGTGCAGGTTTGTGATAAGATCAGAATCTTCTATAATCGCTCTTTCCTCTACAGCAGACCCAAGTATCTACAGAAAATGTTGTCCAAAACATTTGCCCTCTAGGAACATGTCTAGAGGTACATTTTCTCCTTTGTTCCTGCCATGCATGGCCTAGATGTATTCTGCTCTCATAGAGTATGCTCTTTCCATTCGATTCTACCTTTACTCTAGGAGAAGTACAAGGATAGAGAATTCATAAAGACTCAAGAACAGACAGGAATACATGAGAGGAATGGACACAGAGATAGGAAAATGGTAGTATTCTGCAAAAAGGGATTAAAGCACTATCAGATATATCCTGCCTATCCTCCAGGAGCAGAAAGGGAACAAAGGGTAGCAGAGGCTGCTTTTATAAATAGAAGTAACAGAATCCTTGACCAAGGGAAAAAACCCCACCCCTCAACACACTCTTCTGACCATAACACTAGATAACATCAATTTATCTGCTCTTCAAAGGGAGGACTTCTCTGAAATAATACTTCATACATGAACAGTTGCCACATAATGGCATCTAGGCTGAACGTTTCCATCATTACTCACTAAATTCCAATTATGTAGAACTTCCTGCAGAGCCACAACTATTTTCAATCTTATCAAATGAAGGCCATGTAGTCAAAATGGGCCCTAGAGAGCTCCAAAATATTTCTAAGTTCAAAAGAAGTATTATACATTCTGAGTAAAATTAGATAGCCTCTCCAAAACTGGCAAATCCTTAAATACAATAGGTATTTTAACAATACACATGACAACAGCCTGGAAAAACAAGCAAAGTAGTTTTGCCTCCAGCATTAGCATAACAGCTTGGCAAAGGATATTTAGAACAGCCCAGTTACATTCCCAAGGCAGACAGCAACACTGAACTATCCTGTGACCCATAAAACTCACCTATTTTGTTTGACTACAGGAATGTCAGCACCATTAGGAACAAGCTCTTTAATTTCTGTTGTACCAAAGTTTTCCACAGTGATCTATTTAAAACAAACAAAAATAGTATAAATCTTATTTACTGCACAGAGTACTTCTTCCCATCACTTAGCTACAGCAACATGAACAGCAGACACAGATACTAAAATTCATGGGAATCAGCAGTTGATGCTTTTGCTCAAACAGTTCATCAGAGCTGTTATAATAGATGGTATAGGTTTGATAACAAACACTATATAAACACTTAAGAGTATATACACTTACAGTAAAATTAAGACAAAATGCTTCTTCAATGTCATCCTCTGGATAGTCCAGTAACTGTTGCATTCCCCTGCAAAATAAGTTACAAAGTATGTGTACCAGTGGAAAGAAAGATGAACTTACTTTCCTGAAGTATTCTTTATGCTTTGATAGCTCAAGTTTTAAAAAACAAAACAAAAACCAAAACACCCCCCTCCTTTCTACTGTTATTTCATTAGCTCACTGACTTGCACCTTGTACAGTGTTGGGAAGTCTCAAGCAATTGTTTTTTTATTACTTGTAGTGTTATTTCCTTTTGATTACCTTCAAGTGTGAAGAGAGAAGATTCATATCTTAGTCTTCAGCTAACAGAATCCCAAACCAGAGGTGGTTAAGTACCTAATAACCACTGATGGGGTCTGCCATTAACTTACTTCATTTCTCCTTGAATCTTCAAAAATTTTAGCATTCACAGCACTGAGGCAATCAAACATCAACATTCACTCATCTGAACCTCCTGTCTGTTAGTGCTATTCAAATCCCTACTTAAGGGCAGATATTTAGTACATACTTGTTCCTGAAATAAGCAAAAACATTTTCTTGATGGACTAAATAAGCTGTTCAGAACTAAAATTGTGTCCACAATGGCTAAAATTCAAAGGTTTTGAATTTCAAATATTATTTTCCTCTAAAATTCTTCTAGAATAATAAAATAGAAGAAAAATACTAAAACCAAGCAGGTATTTAACAATAGCATGTAACCTTTCTCAAATGACATGCTGGCTGCAAGTTACTCCGAGCCGTTTATCCTGTCAGTGTGAAAATAACTCATTTTCTTTACATTCTTAAAGGAAATTTTTGAACCAAAAATTAAGTCCTAATAACACTTTTCTTGCTTACCTGCCAACATCTGGCATCAACTCTTTTAAGTCATCCAGGGATGGTTTCTTATTCAATAGCTTTTTGTACAAAGCCAGAGGGAAATGAAGGTCTACAATAGTAAAATTATATATTGCTAGCCCACAGACAACACCAATCAAATGAAATAAGTCACTGTCTTCAAAGGTCTAAGAACAGAAAACAGACAAGATAGTTTAAAATAAAGACATTATTTTAACCTTACAGAGTCCAGAAAAAGGCAGTATAATCTGAGTTTCATTTATGTTTTCTTTAAACCTGCAGGTATTCATAAGTACTTAGGAAAACAGGATAAAGTTTTA